GCTGAACTAGCTTGGTGGTTGAACAGAGACCAGACCACAGCAGGGGTGCTGCTTTCTCCACCTTGTCCAGACTTACATCTATTCCCAGACTCATCTTTAGAGGGTTGGTGTGCTTACCTCAACTCCCAGGATATTTCCAGCCTCTGGTCAATCAAGGAGTCTTGTTTCTGTACCACCTTTCTCGAGTTTATGGCAGTTTCTCGAGCTTTGTCCTATTTGCTTCCTCTCTGGCAGGGGAGGGTGATTATGGTACACTCCAACAACTCCACAGTGGTCACTTATATCACCAAGCAAGGGTGTACCAATTCCAGGTCTCTGTGCTTTCAGATCCTAGATTTCCTTTCCTGGGCCCACAGTCAACACATGGTGACCTTAGCTTGCCATGTTCCTGGCACCCTAAATCTGGATGCAGGTCAATTATCTTGTCCCAGAAAAATTCTCCCCATGGAGTAGTCCCTTGATCCACAGGTATTTTGTTGGGTGTGTTCCCAGCTAGAGACACCCCATACATGCCTTTGCCACCCACTGGTACACCAAACTTTTTTCCCTTTTGGTCTTTCGTTCTACACCCGCTAATGCTGGGTTGGATACATTCAGTCAAGATTGGAGGGATCTTCAATCTATGCTAACTCTTCTATTCAGCTCATCTCCAGAGTTCTAATTCATTTTGTGTCAAGTCCTACTAGTGGCTCCATATTGGCTAGCACCTTTACTGTACAACCTCCTCTGTCTCAGTCTCTATTCCGTCAACCCTGATTGGACATTGTTCATCCAGACGTCTCCACACTCTGTTTTCATGCATGGTTTTGTCAGATCCATTGCTTCAGCCCAGGGAATGACCCCACATGTTGCTCTTTCCTTTCCTGTTCCATCAGACCTATGTCCATGCCCATTTACTAAAGGTGATGGTCTACCTTCTACCTTTAGTCTCTTCAATGTGGCTTCCATCCTTCCATTCCTCATATTTCCCAATTCGTCACCTGGTTGTTTGACAAAAGCTTGTCCACTTCAACCATGTCTAGCTATCAGGTAGCCTTATCTAACACCTTCCATTTCTCCTAGTTACGCAATATTTTGTCTTCCCTTGTCATTTCCCTCCTTTCGAGTCATGCATCCTCCATATTCCTTTGATTTACCTGATTGGGATCCCATTATTGTCCTTTATGCCCTTTCCTATCCTCCCTTTGAGCCTTTGCCTATGCATTCCATGTACCATCTCTACCACAAGACTTTCTCCTCCTTGCTTGCAGATGTTGTCAATCAGATATTTATGATATTAATGTTACCCGCATCCTCTACCATTCCTTTCATGTCATCCTATGTCCCGACCAGTCCTTCCTCCCAAAGACCTATGCTACCCATGAAGGTAGTTTGGCTTTCACACCCATATCCTTTCCTTCCATCTCTCACCTGTACTCCCATTCTGATCCTTATCAGCTTCTTTGTCTGGTTTGATCCTTACAGTGTTATGTGGCATATACTGCCTCTTTACATAGTTCATGTTCATTCCTCCTGCAATTACAGTTGGATGAGTTATTATTTGTGCTCACAATACCAGTTACAGATACTGCCCTGTTCTTACTGTTGAGTTGAGGTAAAGCCAGGTTCAGTTTGTTTATACTTCTTGATCCTACGGTAGTTTTTGGAGTTTGTCCAGTTTTGGCTGACTGCTAACTTCCTCTTCATAATTCCGGTTCCTTGACGTATGACACTGTTTACTTATGTTTGGGTTTAATGAGTATATGTAACACGGTCCACATGCACTAGCCACTATGTTTATGTTACACTAAATTTGTTTTTATCTGTTTTGAGCCTCAACCTCCTAATACCAAGGACAAGTTATGTAACCTTGTCTGTCCAGTTTAGGTGGGGTATCTACAATTCATTTATATTTTACTATGGATTGCACTTCTGAACAAATTGCACTTTTGCACATCCCTTTTTCACCTTTATCAGATTAATTTCCTGCTTCAAGGGCAAAGAGCATATCTATTCCAGATGTAGTGCTTTGGTTTCATCTCAGAGCACACCTATTCAATCTAGGCAGTCATTTTTGGATTGGTTTCAATGTTGAGTGCCTACACCAGCCCATTCACCTTTGCAATGTGAGATTCTAGTTTTGTGTGAATACAGGTAAGACTGTATGGGAAGTTAACATTTTCTTACACTGAAAATGTATTTACAATAGGTACTTACCTCCATTCCTCCCCACTGCTGGTGTTTTTTTTTACAATCTGCAAATTCTCGAAAGTGAGGATTGAGTGGGAATAGCAGAGAGAGCTAGCTGTGCCACTATAGGTGGTGCAATACTATTGGTGGAGAGTAGTCACATGCTTTGTATATATTCAATAGTGGCATGAAATTGGTGGGGTGCATGATGGGGTATGCTGAGTGTGAAAATTTTTTCAGCAATGTTTAGAGGGCAGAAAGAAGATCGAGATAGCTTTGAGTGACAGGAGGTAATTACCTATTGGAAATACATTTTCAGTGTAAGAAAATGTTAACTTTTCTAGATAGTCTCTAGAAATCTATGCTATACAATCTTATACTTTATATGACACAATAAAAGTAGTTATCTTAAATATATAAAATGTTTTCTAGGTAGTCTCTAGAAGACATCAACAAAGGAACTGCAAATGTTGGTGGAAGAGACTTAGTGTATGAACTAAGAATAGTCTTTATATATAGCATAAAAAATATTGTAAATATTTTTCTTGATGACGGGCTTATTGTTGAATATACAAGACTGTTTAGTATAAGAGTTATTATTTAGTTCATTTAATGATCTAATATTTAATGATTATTTAGTTTTCATAAGAGTGTTAAAAGTAATTATTTTAAAGGCAATAGTTATGAGAAGTTTCATTATGTAACTCGGTATGGTATGAGTTGTCTATTGTGCATATTGTTGACGTAATCTTTCTCAAAGTTTACAAGTTTTTCTAGTAGTTGTAATATTGTTGCTACTAGAGGGCTAGATATTTCTATATTATTCAGTCGTGTGTTATAAATATGTGCAGACAAAAGAAAGCAAGCTATGTGAAAGATAATCAGACAGATCTAAACTGAGTGATTGGCAGTTTAGCTGTGATGGGTGATTTCTAAAGAAATTAGTAAAGAAGATAAGTGAGAAAAAGTTAAATCAGAAAAAGTTATGTTAGTGAAAATGAAATTAAACTGCATGATTGTTAGTTTCGTTGTAACGGGCAACATTTTAAAGTGAATTTCACAGTTTAACAAATATAAGGAGAATAATTTGTCTTGTCAGAGGATGTTCTACAGTAATTGAACCTACCTGTATAGTCTTTGACAAAAATGAGATAATTATTTAAATTTCTAGATACAATTGTGGTAACTCTCGTGGTAACATAAGTAAATTTATCACAGATTGTATAATAAGAAACCAAATAGAGAAAAATAATTCTTGTCAGTTGGGTTCTAAAGTAACTGACAAATATATTAGGCCATCAAGAAATGAATGTCATTTTTTTTAGATGAAAAAACCCGAACAACTTATATATCAAAACATTTATTAAATGAAATAGTCCCCATTCTTATCGATGATGCTTTTCCATCTTACAATGAGGTTGTTAATGCCCTGATTAAAGAAATCACTTGGCTTTGAAGCAAACAACGTGTCGATGTCCTCTTTAACACCTTCCACATTTGCATACGTTTTCCCATTAAGATGGTGTTGCAGCAAACAAAAAAGATGGTAATCTGATGGTGCCATATATGGAGAATATGGTGGGTGGAGGAGAACTTTCCAACCCAACTCCATAATCACGTGACGTGCCACATGTGGACGTGCAATGTCGTGGACAAGTAGTTTTTGTCTAGGACTGAGCCATTGTTTTTGGCATTTAATATTTGCATCGAGAATCCATTTTTCATCACCAGTGACAATTCTGTCCAAAAATGGTTCATGCGCATTACACGTCAGAAGAGATGAAGCAATGTTTGGCACCCAAGCACCTTCTTTATGGAGTTTTTTCCATATTTCTTAGATGTTTCATGAGAGATATGCAATTTTAGGGCTATTTCATGAGTCTGTTGCCTTGGGTTAGATTCAACAAGCATCTTCACAGCATCAGTATCAATTCCAGCATGTCGGCCTCTCCCATCACAGTTTTTTAAGGTTAAAATCACCTAAACCATCATTGACACTTACGAACGTTCAAAACATTTCCGTAAACTTCTTTGATATTTTTTGTGGCTACAGAGGCATTGTTTCCCTTCTTGTATTCAAACAGCATTACATGCCAAATGTGTGTCTTGTCATGTGGCATCACTATAAGGGATTAGACTATACTAAATTTTACACATTATATAGGCTACAATAACATGACGTTTAGGCAGTTCATTTAACTATTATACGTGATGTATGGTTTTTGGAGGGTGGTTAATGAAAGTGTTCCAAAATGCAACATTAATTTCTTGACGAGCTAATAGTTAAAACTGCAGAGGTGATGAAAATAACAAAATTAAATAAAAGGTTGAACAATCACAAGTTTTTTATTTTATATATTTTTATTTAAAGAAGGATGATGTTTCAAGCTAGTGGTCTTTGTCAGATTGTAAATAAAAATAAATATAAATTTTACTTTTTAATATTTAATTTTTTTTCTAAAGTAACTGAACTAGCCTGTGTAGACTTTTGACAAGAAAAGAGAATTATTTAGAGTTTTAGATATAACTGCGATATCCTATAGTGTAAAGAATTTTTGTATATGCATTTAATTTGTTATGAATATATTATATTAAAACACGTGGATTGTGTGCTGTCCGTTTATTCTTCGAATTTATCACCAACAAGTCACAGACACCTACTGTAAAGAATCTGGCCCCATAAAACCTGACAAACTTCAAATTATAGATACATTTTTTTAATTTATCACATTCCTTCAAAAAAAGTTTTGAAACATAATATTTTCGTTTTTATCTTTTTATAATGAAATCCATATGGACTTCACTTTTCTGAAAAAATTGTCCACACTTACCTAATTCAGCTTGTTCCCTTTCATACTCCAAATTACTATTCTTAATGCTTTGGAATTCAGGCTCTACATCTACAGAATGTCCTCGTATAGATCTTAATACTTGAACAGCCTTGTCATACTTTTCCATTTTGATCAACCAGCGTGGAGACTCAGGCATAAACAAGAAACCACAAAACTGAATGAATGATGGGATCCCAGCAAGGCCTAACATGTACCTACACAAGAATATTACAGTGATTGCTAAAACAAACTATACACATTTTGAAACTTACAAACACCAGTAATTAACACAAGACTACTTTCTCCACAGCTATATTTTGAGAAACAAAAGATTTTAAAACTTAATGATCACAAATGTGATACGATTAACAGATTTTATAATCTTAGATATATCTCAATAATTTATTGAAGGCTACATGTTTTGTTTATCAAGACAGTTTAAGTTCATCATTATGATTATAAAAAACATTTCTGATTATACATTTTATAACTCAACTGCAGCTGGGCAGGTTTAAAATAATTTAGCATCACAGGTTACTTCCTCAAAACTTTAGATATACGAGCAGTCAAGCTGATTGATGTAGACAAAACTCAAGAAAAATGACAAAATTGTACCAAGCTCTAAGAAAAAAGTAAGTAATAACCATGATAACCACAAACAATGACAACACAGGAATTTCAGTGGGTGACAGGTAGTTGTCTGTAAAGTTAAAAGCCTATATTTGTTCTGTTATGATAAAACTGTGTAAAAACCACTTAATTCTTCTGATGTTCATATATGCTGTTTTAAGTTGTATCTTAGAAGTTATAACTTAGTTTTTTGCTAGAGGGAGCTGCTAATCATGAGATGTAATAATCAAGTTTCATCAAGAGACAAAGGTATATTATTTATAAATACAAGCAGTTAGTGAAGTTAATGAGTATTCAACAAGTTTATCACTTCAGTGTCAGAAAAGTTCTCTGTTAGAAGCGAGATTGATTGCATCTATTCAGTACTCAAACAATTAGTGAGAAAATTCTGTAAATAAGTTTATTTGTAAGTTATATAAGAAATTTCTGTTAAATGTTATTAGTGCATTATGGCTACAGTAATTACACTAGTATCTGCTGAAAAATATTATATTTGAAGTTAAGTCTACTGGTGAAAGTAACTATAACAAATATTAACTGAATATGCATTAGGCCAATCCCTACTGAAGATGGAATGTTGACTATAATTTATAATGTGTTGTATTATCTCATTATATCACCAGCTAACATCTCTAACCAAGCAGACTGCACAGATCATTTACTTATGTGGTCAAGCTTTCTATGGGTCTCCTTATTTAAGCTTTGAACTTAGCCCAATAGATCTCTCTATTCTCCACCAGGTTGAACCTCCAGCACTACTCGGTTATGGGCATCTTACACTCATGAAGTTGCTTGAATGAGTCAAAGTATGAATCATTCAGTCTCAGTACCAGGTGCTAAACTAAGTATAGTTGTTCCGAACAGTCACCTGCCTGAAGCGTTTCAGAAACCGGTCTAGGTCTTCTTTCATCAAGCCTCTAAATGTCAGAGGAGTTATTTGCTTGGCCTTGCTTATGGGGATCCAAGGGTGCAAACAAATGGTCTCCTTGCCAATCTCCAAATCATCACTTGATTGAGAAGTGTTGGAGTGTTTAGGTACCCCAATGCTCTGATGGGTGGTGGGCATCTGAATTTAGGGTTCAGAGCAAATGGGTATGCTTGGCAGCTCATTTCTAGCTTTCATTAGACCCTTAATATATTGATTGATGTCACCAGTATACCACCCAGCTCAGGGAAGCTCATATTGTCACACAATCCACTTTGGATCTGCCGTCGAAATGGCTTCCATTGGTAAACAGTGGCCACTAATGTTATTTCCAATCTTTCTTTCTTGTAAAGTTGCAATCAGAGTGGAAGTTGTGTTACTCTGGCTGGTGTTGGTCTAGGAGTCCTACATAGACCTCCACAAGTAGTTTTGGACTTTCCAGAAACCACCAGATGTTATAAATTCTTCCTTTTGAGCCATGGCTCATAGTGAAATCTCAATCATGGACCTTTGCAGCAATAACAAAAGTTCAACATTCAGGAAAGGACTTCTCTTAAATGCAACTACCATCTTGAAATACTATCTTCATCAATGACCAACTTTTCCTACAGGTCATAGATCCTTTGAGTTGTAGAAAATGATGTTTTCTCAAACAGAAGTCTTTTTAAAAGGTGACCAAAGAATAAAAGCTAAGGGAAGTAAACACTTCACTAACTATTAGCAAAGTCCACAATAAATCAATATCCTGCAGTAACAGCACCAAAATTTGTTGTTACTTATCCACTTTGTTTTGTTTTTTTTCCAACTTAGGTGCTGTATCAGATAAGCCTGCCAAACAGGAGATTCAATCAAGATATGGTTTTATACAACAGTGCCAAACGTTTAATGGCTAAGTTTAAGCTAAGAAATAAATAGACTGGACATAATGTGTAAAATACAATGAAAAGAATATTTATTTAAACTTAAGATAAGAACACAGTGCATATACTTGCTTTATGTTAATTTCTTTGATCATCTGTCAGACTGACTACATGCAAGGTTTTAAGCTTTTAGCTTTTGTAGCACTACCACATGAATGATAAGTCTCATTCTACATAGGTGAGGCCACAACCTATATGTATGTTACCTGTACAACCAATGAAATCTCCTGAAACAAGGTCATTGTAAGCAATGTTCTCCATAAATGGTATCAGGTATTACCAACTTGTAAATAAAAATGAAATAAATATAACTTGAAATAAGATCAACTTAACAGTTTTCTTGACCAAATGTTATGTGAAAACCTGCATATATATTCAGAACAGAGAATAAATTCAAAATAAACAGTAATACTACAGACAGCAAGAAACCTATGGTATATTCCTACAGCACAGAATGTTAAATCTACAACAATCACAAAGCAAATAACTAGTGTTTATACATTCTGTAAATAAGGTTAACTCAATTCTTTCTTTATTGTTACTTTCATTACTAGTTTTGGTTAGAATGTTTGTTGTGTCTCTTTTTCTTCAATTTCTTATTGTTATAATATTTGTATTAAAGGTTATTTAATGTTTTAGCTCAGTATATGGATTTATGACTAATTTAAATCACCTAAGCTGGTCAAACCTCATAAAATACTGTTGGGCTTATGGCCAAAAATATTGCTAGCAGTAAGTGTATCCAACTCATAAAACTGCATTCTACTCCTTATAAGAACATAAAAACATTATATCTAATTAGCTATACCCATTACTGGGTTGATTTTCAGTTTTAATCAAAGTAGGTATTAATTCAAATTAACATTTAGTTATGTGTAAATTAAAGATGTGCTGTACATCACAGCTGTGGTACAAGTAATTAATATCAGGTTTAGTTAATTTGATGTCAGATTAATCTTTAAACCTTGAAATTGCTTCGTTTTAGTTAAATATATAAATTAATGGCCGAGTAGACTGGAAATATAGTATTCTTTCTTCTGTATTCTGAAAATAACAGGATGAGGGGACAAATGTGTAATATTTGGAAAAGACAGGTCAAGCTCTAGTTAAAACCATTGTATTTTTCTAACAGGGTGAAATGATTTGTCATCTGCATAAGTGGAAATCAGCACTTTACAGGCATTTAAGATGGGAATTGCAGATTCCCTGTAAAATAAAGGGTGGTTTTAAATTTTATTTTTCACAAGGGTGAATGTGCAAGGGCAGCCTTGAATTACCAAATGGTCCCTTGGCCTAGTTGTCTATATGTTATGTTAATAAAATTCAATTTCTAACAGATGATATACTCCTAACTTCTAAAATATTATATTCTCTTGTAAAATCAATGATGCCGAGGTTTATAGAGACAAATCAAAAGCAGTCCAAACCTATAATTAGCTCTAAAATGGATTATGAATGCTTATTAATTGGCTAAAAATATTAAATTTGATTTAGAGTTGCTGTTTACATTAATTACAAAAATAAGGTGAAGGATAAAATTGGTCTTTCAAAATATTTTGAAGAAAACTTTATTATAAAAGATAAACATGGCTAAAGTGCAAAACAACTTTTTATACTACTGTTTTTAATGACAAATGTGAGGAAAAGATTTTCAAGCTGACTACTTTATTAAGGGTGGAGAAAACTTTAATTTAAATGCCATTTATCTTGAGGAAGTAGTTGTTCTGAAACCTTTTAAAATATTCCTTATAAATAAGTCTGTTGTCATAAGTCATTTACAAAAAATCTTTGGGAAATTGACATTAATAATTCTGAGCATGGTTGCAGAAAAGGATTTTCTTTTCTTACTAATTTGTTGAAAAGTTTAACAGAGGCTTTAAACTTTTCAATAAGGACATTTCTTTGATACTATTTAACTTAACTTTTTGTAATGTGCCTTACAAGAGGTTGATTGGTAATTCAGAGCTTATGGAATTTGTGGAAAAAAATCCATGAAATGGAATAGAAATTGGCTTAGTGATAGAAACCAAAGAGAATAACAAAAATACAATTTTCTGACTGACAAACTATCTAGTGAAGTTCCTCAGGGGTCTTCTCTACGACTTTTGTTTTGTTTTTTTTAATGAGTTGGATTGCTATTCAGGCAATACCATTTCTAAATTTGATGATGATATTAAAATGCAGGTAAGGTCTGATTCTGTTTAAAGAGCTTCTGTTATTCAATATGGTTCTTAGTTCAAGTTATAAGAATACTGAGTTTAAAAGTAAGGTTATTTAGTTTTATAAAAGTCTCTGGCTAGACCTCATTTGGAATACTGAGTAAAGTTTTGATCCCTTTGATACAGGAAGAAATTCAGCAGATTGGAAAGAATTCAAAGGCAGGCTATCAGAATGATTCCTGGTTTAAACAACTTAAGCTAAGAGAAGAGGCTCACAGTTTTGGATTTGCTTGAAAAATTAAGGTGGACTCAATTTGCTTGGGGGTATGATAGTCTTTCTGTGAGTGTCTGTTTGAATGTTGGAATAATAAGGTTAGGAATACAAGCTTGAATATTTGATTAAATGTTTTAAGCTTTGGTAGCCCCATGCGGAATTATTCTTAGGCAAAACATTTTGGGGGGAGGTTAGAGTTATAAACTGTAATGGTTTGCATAATGATGTGGACTGTGCTGTTAGTTTTGAATTCTTTTTAAATTATGTTAGATAGGTAATAGTATGTGAATAGCTACATTCAAAATTTGTTAAAAAATTAAATCAAGGTGGAATTATTTTTATAATTAATGTTTTCATTCAATTATTTTTGTAAGAGACATGACTTCAACAGCCAAATGGCCTTCTATCAGTTTTCCTTTTATTAAATAATCTGAAATATTCATTCTTCTTAGTTACACCTACCTCCAACCATTTTTCTTATCATTGCTAAAAGCACCAGCTATAATACTAGCAATAAGCTGACCACCGGTTATAAAACAAGTATTCAGGGTTACCAAAGTTCCTCGTCTTTCAGAAGGTGCAACTTCACCTATGTACATAGGTACAATCATTGAAGACAAACCTGCAAAGAAAAAGTTAAAGTTATTTAAATATTTTAGCTGTAAGTTTTTTGCACATACTAACAATGTAATGGCCAACCTGGTAATGATTAAGAGTAAGAACAGCTACATGATGAAGTTATCTTGCAGAATAAGAGTATTAGTTCACAAAATCAAAATATAATGAGTTAGGTGTATAATTACAGCTAAAGCTCTGTGCACCACATTTTGATTCTGCAGAAATAAAAATAATTATTTTGTATTACATTCTAGTGAGGTAAATACTGCATCCACTTTTGGTTTTCTGTTACCAGGTTTTTGTACTTGTGAACTAAAGATGGCAATATGGTTTAGATGTACAAAATCATCAGATAACACTTTCCTTGGGTGATGTGTTTGAGAGGCACAATGTTAAAGTTGGAAGCAGAGATCTATGCACTACGTAGAAGCTATAGAAAATCGAAAGTTAATATTTGGAAAACAATTTTTCTAATTAAGAATTTAACAAATGGCATGCTTGATGTCTATATATTGTTATCTCAAAATCATATTTATTCAAGTGTTTGTTGGTTATGCATATGAATGAGAAAGGTTATATCTAGTTTAAGTTGGTGGTCTATGAGGTTATTTGGAATGTAAAGGTGTGACCTAAATCTCAGTCAAACAGTTAACTCAGAAAATAATTACTTTTAACTTTAATTTGTAATAAAACCTTATTAATGTAATATCGGTCACCAATCTTATACTTTCAACCAACCATATAATAGAGAACTTTTTAGTATTTTTCGCAAAAAAAAAATTTCCACCACAAACATTTAACCATTGTACACAAGTTTTTCAAATAAACTTCCCTCAATGAACTCATGGTTTATAGTTATTACAGTTTATAACATACGCGTAATGGTATAATATTCAATGAAGTAAAACCAGAAAAACAAAGTTACTTTAAGCAAGCACACACAATAAGAAGAGTTACAATCAAACTACAATAACAACAAATAAATCTGAGGATACTGAAAATAAAATCTTTCAATGAATTTCACTTAAATTTAACAAAATCTGGTGAAATACCAGTACATAACCATTTTAAATCTTAAACTTTTAAGTGATTTATTTTGTCTCTGTACCTTCATTGTTAGAGTACGTTTTAAGTTTATGCTCTGGATTTAGTAAGTGTCAAAAATGTGTAATAACACATTCAAGATTGAATTCTGGACTATTTTGTTTTATTGGTTTAAAAACTAAAATTAAAAATCTAAACTGAAGTATTACTACCAACTTAGAAGGGTGTGTTAAAACTTAATGTCTTAAGACTTAAGTGAATTATAAACTAGAGATGCCTTACCTATACCAATTCCAACAGTTAAACGTCCAACTATAAGCATTCCTCTGGTAACTGAAACCCCCATTACAATGGCTCCAGCAGTAAAAACAACACTTGCTATCAATATTACTGGTTTTCTTCCAAGTTTGTCTGATAGTACACCTGCTACTAAAGAAAATGCCCAAGCTCCTCCAATTGTTATACTAACAATAAGTTCTTGCCACACATGATTCAAACTAAAATAATCCCTCAAAAGTATCATAGCTCCGGAAACAACTCCTGTATCATAACCAAACAAAAAACCTCCTATTGCTGAAAGCAGTGTTAACGTGTACATAAAGATGGGAATGTTAGGATGATTTCCATTGCCTTTTACTTTCACAACCAAATCCTCACTTTCGTCATGATTTATGGGTGTCGGCATTTTAATTGGTATATTTAATAGTTTAAAAGATGACGATATACATAAGTAAATCTAAACTCGATACAATATCCTAATTAACCAAAAACACGATTCAAAATGAAAACACATAGTCTGAGAGTCTCAATACGTATCATAGGGGGCGTTAACTCGCAGCTATCATCAACATGTTCCAAAATGTATCGAAGAGGCGCCTTTAGCAATCTGTGTGAGAGGATAAGTGGGTGTTGTAAAATAAGGAGTTACGTATTTTTATAATAAGCAATAAACAAATTTACATAGAGTGAATATGCAATTTTTGAGTAAAATAAAAAATCCATTACAGATTCGAGCAAGAAATAGGGAAGATTTCTAAAGTAACTAACTTCACCGACTTTCTTTTCTTTAAGTTAAATGTAAAATAATAAGTCTGTATATAAACACAAATAAAATAACAAACTGTTTATTATGACAAACAAACAGAAAGTACAGTATAAGTCAGGCCCGAATGCAGAATGTTTGAAACGGGAGTTCTAATTTGTGAGATCAAAAGCCAATAAATATTGTGCGAAGCATAATCAGCATGCTAATGCTACGGGGGTTCAGGGCATGCCCCCCCAGAAAATTAGTAAAAAATAGGTGCTATTAGTTTAAATCTGGAAGTAATTGTGCATGAAATATAGCTTAAACCATTCCATGATTGTTCACATACAATCCACAAACATCCAATAAAAAGTTAACATATTGTTACATCTCCGTTTGTTAATTGATTTTTCCGTAACTTCGTTCCAACGAAACTTTAACGACACAAGTCTTTACTTAATAAAACTGGTTTATTCTTTCCGAATATAACTCTGCGACACACTTAATCTCAATACTCGCGCTAAAACAACACTGTAACGAACGAACGTTAACTTCAACAATACTTCTGACTGCAGTTCAATTACTCATTATCTATACACACCTTACATTCCCCTCTTTTATATACCAGCCTACCCTAAATCTAGTCAGAACTAGAACATTCGCCAAAGTACATGATAGTTCTAGAAACGTTGCGTCACAGTAGTCATGTGACTCGATGACGCAACACTGCCCCTCCTTA